TGGACATCCCCATGCATAGCGTGAGGACATAGAGCGTCAGTAAGGCGACCAAAAGTCGCCTAACAGCCCAGAAGTCCCTCTAGTCTAGTGGCTGTCAGGTAGACAGCCACTAAAGGTGGAGTTAACCTTAGCATGTAATAATTGCAGTTTCTTAAAAACTGCAATTATTACCTGCTCAGGGTTGAGGGACCTGGGATATTGCACCCAGATCACTGCAATGAGCTGATGTGGTTTGGGTGCCTATAGTGTCCCTTTAATTATAATTGCTTGTTCTCCACTGTTCTATATATTTTCATTTTAAATGTTTCTCACTACATGTTTATGGACTAATCCCCAAAGTCTAGTCCTTGTTCAAAAATAAAGAATTGCATGTTAGTTCCTTTTAGAACTGTGTGTCCTGTGTGGATTTTTAGGGATCCCAGTAACAGAGTCTTTGGACCTGTTGGCTGGCTGCATGATCTCTATAGCCCGGACAATTAAAAAAGAGAGCTAGGCTTGAGAGCCACAAGTGCCTTTATAAAGGCAGCAGCTATTCACAGTATAGGCAGAGGTATGAATACCTGCCCGGGAAAGAAGCTGAAGAGTTAATGGCACATAGGACGATACCTGCCTGGAAGAAGAGAAGAAGAAGAGAGCTGCAGACTGGTGGGGAAGAAGAGTACCTGAAAGACCCCAGTCAATCTTTGGGGACTGAGACTGAAGCGCTCCACAGTCTCCTGTGTCAGCTAGGAAGCTTTTTTCAATAAAAAAAAGCTTACAAAAAGCATTGCGGTAGAAGCTTGTGTAAGAAAATGGGGGATCTTGAGATATTAGCACACAAGGAGAAGTATAACATAATTGGGATTACTGAGACTTGGTGGGATGAAACACTTGATTTGGCTATTATTTTTATTTTTTTATTTTTGCAGTGCACAGAAAACATTACAAGCAGGCATGAGGTGCCCCGAGAGCAGTCCTCAAGCTTTTTCTCGCAAAACATGTGGGACATTTGATTACAAGGCACATTTTTATATTATTGTTACTACTCTATCAGTTTGTGAGAGTAGTGTTACACTTTAATTAGGCTAGAATAGTGTTTAAACTAGTCTGTGGGCATCACAGATTATGCATATTATATATGAAAGGAGAAGAAGAAACAGACGTAGGAGTTAGACATGCAAGTTGCCAGGCAGGCAGGTATATCATCGTTATGTTAATAGGTGACAGGCTAACTGGGAGCATGGCCTATGCGTACAGTAATGCATAATGCAAGTGTGGGATGAATATTATGAGTGCAAAACAATTAAAATGGGTAAGCGGTGAATGTTACTTTAAAGTCCTCTGTCGATGGAAAGTCTCTGCTCAAGAGGTGCCAATGTGGTATGGACAGCGTCTGTTGTATTAGAGACTTTGGACATATACCTCTGTGTGTCCCGGTCTGGGAGTGCTCGGTCAGCCGATACCCAGCGCATTGAAGGGTGTTGGGATCGTTTGAAAGTCCTGTTGAGGCTCTGCCATGAGCAGCGTCGTGGGTTCCAATTGCTGTCTCATCTGCTCGTCACCGCAGGAACTGTCGTGGATGTTTCGGGTAAGTGTATTCTTCGTTTGGTGCTCTGGGGCTCTCCATGGTGTCGAGCAGGATCGGAACTGTGAGTGAAGCTTGCTTGTTACTGGTTGCTGTTCGGGTCTCCGCTTCATGCAGGATCTGGGGTGAGCTTGTGGGCCAATTCGGGCCAGGGTTGCAGTGTGGCTTGATCTTGCCTGTTTGTGTTTAAGCAGGTGGGATCTCTGTCTTTGGCACCAACTTTTAGGTCCCGTCAGGCGGGGGCCTATGCGGTTGCGGTGGGTATGTGCGGGTCTTTTGATGGGTTTACGCACTGGAGCTCTAGTGTGTCACTCCTTGCTCGCTATTCGTGCCCAGAAGGCGTCGAGTATGGCTTCGAGTTTGTCCATGATGCTGTGCTTGTCCGTGTGGCAGTTTTGAATGCACGTGGCGTCCGCCATTGTAAGTGCCTGTGTAGCATGGGGCTGCCCTGTATGCTCTGCTGTCAGCTCGCGCTTAAGCCCTGCTTCCTGGAAGGATTGGACCGGGATCACCCCCGCCGGTCCTGAGGGCGGGGGAGCGGGTAATCGGCGGTTCCGTGCCCCGTCCACTGTGGGCCGCAGCCTGCCTCCATGAGTTCTCTCTTGTGGGAAACACTTGAGTCCGGTATCGGATGATTCACCAGGGCGCACCCAGCATGGGTAGCACACTCCGGCTTCAATTCAGGCATGAGATCTGCTAGTATTTCCCTGTAAACAGCCTGTGTGGTGGGATCTCATCCACCATGCGACTGCACTGCTTGCAGGTCAGGCCCCGCCCCGATTCGGCTATTATTTTAAATGTATATTCATTATTTAGGAAGGATAGAAATAAATAGGAAAAATGTGTCGTATGTCTTTATACAGGGTAGGCCAAAATTCAGAGTAGGGTTTGAGAAGTCAATATTATTTTTATTAATGCACCAATTTCAATGATATTGCATACATGCATGCTTAATGTATGGAGATTTGTTTGACTAGGTAAGGAAAATGACATCTTTTAAATGAGATTCATTTGTTATCTCACAGAGATGGCTCTTTCGATTGCATTGTTCATAACATTAGTTAAAGGATCACTATAAGGTCAGGAACACAAACATGTTTTCCTGACTCTATAGTGTTAACACCACAATCTAGCCCCCCTGGGCAGCTTATGCCTCCATAAATATAGCAAAATCTTACTGTATTCAAGCCTGAAGTTGTAACTCTGCATGTGGTTTGCCTCAGAAAAACAAACTGTCTGCTGACATCATCAGAAGTGGCAGCCTGATCCAATCACAATGCTTCCCCATAGGATTGGCTGAGACTGACAAGGAGGCAGATCAGGGGCAGAGCCAGTATGATTCAAACACAGCCCTGGCCAATCAGCATCTCCTCATAGAGATGCATTGAATCAATGCATCTCTATGAGGAAAGTTCAGTGTCTGCATGCAGAGGGAGGAGATACTGAATGTTTGGATGCATTTTCGGCAGCCATGACCCTAGGCTGTAATGTAAACACTGCATTTTCTCTGAAAAGACAATGTTTACAGCAAAAAGCTGGAAGGTAATGATTCTACACACCAGAACAAATTCAATAAGCTGTAGTTGTTCTGGTGACTTAAATGTTTGAGGCACTAGTGCTCGAATTTCTGCACAGATATTCTCTTTGAGCTGTTTAAATGTGCACGGTTTACTCACAGTTGTCTCAGGAGGTCCATTTTGGCACTGACTGTATGATCAGTAGCCCCATCCTGTTGAAACCACATTTTAGGACAAATTTCCACTACAGGACGTATACAAATTTCAATAATAACCTGATATCTCACACCAATAACTGTCAAAGCAGTTTTGAAGAAGTAGGTCCCAATAACTTCCTGCGAGGTCACCCTGCACCAGATGGTGCATTTGGTAAGGTGTAATTAGCGCTGATTAATTTCCCCTGGATTTTCTATACCCCAGAAACAACAGTTTTGCTTATCGATGGAGCCAGTAAAATGTAAATGAGCTTAGTCAGAGATGTTGAGTTGATGAATAAATTCATAGTTTTCTCTGGCTAATTATTGGCTGCAATTAGCATAATTTAGGTGTTGAGGGTGGTCTGTGGATTTCAGTTAATGCACCTACTGTATTTTATATTAAACTTGATTTGAAGCTCTTGGACTACTCTATGGGTTCAGCCTCAACTCTTCCGGTCGAACAAGGCGAACGATCGTCCCTGCGCAGTTACCCAGGTGAGTGCTATTTGGAGAAGTCGATGAACCAGGTTATATAATTTATTAATGTATTATTATGGAAACATATGTTTTTAATGTATTAATGTATGCCACCTTGTTGTCTGGAAGTTAATAAAGTCAGTCTAATTAACTGAATTATCCATAAATCATAGCGACACCAGGAGAGAAACATATTGCAATGGTTAATGACCACTTGTCGTTATTGTCCCTATAAATATGTGTGCTTGGTGACAATAAACATGTGTTTGGGTAAAGAGCTATATTCAATTTAGCACTTTATTCTCCAGTCAGAGGGAACTTTTAGTGGAGGTACTCAGCTAGAGTACTGGGCTCTGTTACATCTGGTGGCAGAAGTAGGATGTTCCCTCTTTTGGGAGCACTGAGTGCTGCAAGCAAGGTGGATGGATCGCTAAACTTATGGAAGCGACAGGATAGGTAGCCAGCAACAAGTCAAAAGCTACCTTTGTCCCTGAACTGACATAGTGGGACAGAGTGAACATGGCGTCATCCAACTTGTCCTGGGGGAAACAGAGATTCAGAGGGAGGTAAAAACACGGCTAGCGCTCTATGGTTCACAGGCATCAGAGGAGATTGTCCGGACTACCAGGGCTCACATGAGGGCCTACATGCAAAAGGAGTGGAATAGGGAACACTAGGTCCAGCTAGCAGAGATGAAGCATTTAGGGGGAGTGGGGCCGGCTTCCCTGATAGTACTGCCAGGGAAGAAGAAAATCCAGTATGGCATTTTTAAACCATTCATCAAAGCAGAGGGGGACCTTGTTGGGTACATGCAATATTTTGAAAGGCAGTTTACCTCGCACAAAACAGACCCAGCAGATTGGGTCTCTATCCTAGCCGAGAAGCTGTCGGTACGTGTCGCATAGGCTTAACAAGCCGTCCCAGACATTGATCTAAACAACTTTGATCAGGTCAAGGAGGTGTTTCTGGACCGATATGCCATCAGGTGGAAGGCATTCGGCAGGCGATTCCTAGATTTAAACAGGGGTGCACCAAGCAATCTACAAATTAGTTCCATGTTGCCAAATCACTACCCTGAAGGATGTGATGCAGCTGTTACTACTAGAGCAGTTCTACAACTACATCCAGAGGTCCAAGAGTGGGTACAGGACTGTCGGCCGATCACTGTAACAGAGGTAGCACAACTGGCCAATGAGTACCAAGATGCTCGGTGACATCAACGACCAGTACCAAAAGTACAGTTCCGTCAAGCCATTGTTAACCCTGGGCCACCAGGCTCCCAATGCAGAGGAGTTCCCCTGGATCCTGCCACTTATGTTCCACTCCTCGAGTTGGCCCACAACGTCACGTCTGCTGGGAATATGGGCTTGTACAAAGGGAAAGCCTGCAAGGGGGAGATCGTGCTTAGTGGATCCAGCCTGGCGCTCCAACAGTTCCTCAGACAGCTGCACACTACTACCATATAGTGATGGCACCAGCTTCACTACATTCCCGGATCTGACCAATGCCACAGTTTACAGAGGAGATATTGGAGACTCTCCACAAGGCCAACCCTGTGCAAGCCACCCCAGACAATCGACGGCATCATCAATAAGCAGAATGGATTAACAGTAAGATGGCCCAGGGACTATGGGACCCAGGAGCCACCCTCACCTTGGTAAAGCAACATCTCATCATGGACACCAAAAAGACTGGGAGATCAGTGGCTGTCCACCGACAAGATACATTTAAACTGGGGACATCAAAGTTGGAGTCATGAAGAACCTGCTGGCTAACGGGCAATGATTTGGGCTAGCTTACTTCAGCGTTCATTAACACACTGACTGAGGAGCCATATGCCATAACAACCAGGCATCAAGCTCTCGGTGCTGAAGCTGGTTCGCACTCCAAGACCCTGGTAGAACATCATGCCCCCTCCTCGACTGCAAGTAGCCCCCTTTCTTGGGATACGCCAACAGAGTTTTGGAGGGAAGTTGTAGAGGACCTGTCCCTGCAGGTATACAGGGATAGAGCAAGGACCAGTCAAGGAGGTTTAGAGGGGGCTTTTCATGGCATTAAGGCCTGTTGTGTGGTGACATTCTGTCATCAAACTAATATGGTGACCAAGGATCATGTGACCAAGCTCTTACAGTGGGATAAGCTTTACCCTTTTGAAATGTTAATTAGTAATTCAATACCTTTACTAGTCAGGAAAGAGATAACCACTTCCCCCTATCTCCATTCCTCTCTGTTCCTTCTTGGCTGTGCTACTGAGCAGTCCTTTAAGCAGACATGGCCTAATTTCCATCATGGTGAACTGTGAGTGGGATTTTATAAGATGTAGTTGTTATTGTTAGTTAGGTTGTTGTTGCTGTTGTTGGTGGTATAGTTAGTTAGATTGTGTGTCATTATTTGCATGTTGTTGTTGTTTTGTCTCTGAATAAATATTTGTTAAAGTAGACGGACCAGAGTTTATATGTGTATGCGTACATAATAATTTATAGAATTTGGTGATACACCACATTTGGCGACCACGAATTTTAGACTTCTACAACAAATGTTTGTGAGGCGCAATAACTACCATATTGATACATAATCTAAGAGAAAGAGACTTTATAGCATAGGATTTATTTTGTTGAAACAAATATACATATTTGTTTTGTTGACTGTTTTGAATTTGTGTATTGTGACTGACAGACCATATTTTGATGCAAATTGTAGCATTTATAGGTTTAACTTTGTTTCTGTACAGTTTTAAAGTATTGGTGATAAAAGGGGAAAATTGAATTGCATTGGAACCTTTGATGTTTTGGCCATTTTTAATTGCCCATGTGCTGTATTGTCTCTCTTGTTGCAACTAACTAGAATGAAACTTAATCTATTTTAATTGTCTTCTTGGGTGTTAAATTGTGGGGCTTCACTGCATTCTAAGTTAAAATAGCAAACGTTTTTTGTTGTTATCTTTTGTCTGTTTGAATAATTGAATTCAGGATAGGAGCATAATGTTTGTGCATTATGACTGACAGAACGTATTTTGTTGCAAATTGTAGCATTTATAGTTTAATTTTGTTTATACACAGTTTTAAAGTATTGGTGATTAAAGGGGAAGATTGAATAGTTGCACTGCATTGGTACTATTGATGTTTCGGCCATTTTTAATAGCCCATGTGCTGTATTGTCTCTCTCCTGTTGCATCTAACTAGAACTAAACTGAATATATTGTAATTGTTTTTAGATGTTACATTTTGTACATTTTGTGGCTTCCCTGCATTCTAAGTTTAAATAGCAAACTGTTTTTTTGGTGGGTTATCTTTTGTCTGTTTGAACCATTGAATTCTGGGTAGGAGCATTGTGTTTACATGATAAAGGTATTGGGGCTAATACAGTGTGGTGGCTATTGTTTAGCCAGGCTAAAATTTAAATTTTTACACTGTGTGTTTAATAGAGAATGAACAGTTTGTATTTGAGGTAAAGGTGCCTATGTTAGATTGTTATATGGTTGGGAATTATCATTGTGCTGAAGTTACAGTCAGGTATTTTTCAGTTCCCATACCTTCCTTTAAATCATTCTGTTTATTTGTAAACCCCCCACACTGCACTTAAACAAAGGCAAAAGGGTGGTTTTGTGTTTTGCTGCCTGTGGGCATTTGTTGTATTGAGACTGTGAAGTTTTTTTTCTTAAAAGACAAGAGTTTGTTTGAATAGGTTAATGTAATTAAGTTTCTCAAATGGTTCAATCTCTTTGGAGCCAGTTTCAGTTTTTTTAAATTAATCCCATTGTTAAAAGCGTGTTGTTTTTTTTTCCTTAGTCTGCTGGTCTATTTTGATTAACCCCTTCCCGACCGAGGACGGTTCAGGACCGTCATCGGGATTTTCCCATTGCGGACCGATGACGGTCCTGAACCGTCCTAACGGTTTCCGTTACTTACCTGATCGCCGTCGTTCCCCCGGCGGCGATCAGCGTTGCTCCCGGTGTGGGTAGACTGCCTGCAGCCCAGACAGTCTCCCCACACTGATTTAGGACTCCCTAAAAGTGTGATCGCGCATTAGCCGTGCATCACATGGTCACAATAGTGTCCATGTGTGTTCGTTTGCAGGGGACTGTTTCAGCGACAGTGTAGCCTCTGCTAGTGTAAACTCAAAAATAAAATAAAGTTAGTGTTAAAAAAATAATACAATTATATATGTATATATATAATATATGTCTATATATCATATATATAATGTTATACTAAGTGTATTTTTATATTAATATGTACTTATATTAATATAAAAATACACTTATAATTAAATTACACACGTATATATATAATATATATAATAACTATATATATTGTGTATATATATATATTATTATAAAATATAAATAAGTAATTTAAATTAAATAAAAAAAATTTAAAATAATAAAAAATTTAAAAAAAATTATATAGCTATATGAAATTTTATTCTAACTGTATTTTAAAATTAATATATATATATTTATATCAAAATACACTTAGAATGAATTTGTATATATATCTATGTATATAGAAATAAATAAAAATAATAAGAAATATACATACGTCCATATACAAAATTACATAAATAATTATATAAATATACACGTAGACTTCAAATATATAAATATGCATATATTTAAATTCTACGTGCGTATTTATGTAATATTTTTACATAATTAAGTAATTTTATTAATTGCAATTTGAGGGACCTGCCTGCCAACCCAGGCTGAAAGTCCAGAGAATTTTATTTGTTAGTGACTATTTTACCCTGTAACGCTCTACGACACTTAAAATTGCATGGGGTATTTTTACTGGGAGACTTCTGCTGAACACAGTTAGTAGATTCAAAATATAAAACATATCACAAGGATGATATTGTCAGTGAAAGTTACTTTTTTTGCATTTTTCACACACAAACAGCACTTTTACTGATGATATAAATGTTGTGATACGTTTTCCAGTTTTTAAACACTAATATTTGTGTTCAGCGATGTCTCCCGAGTAAAACAGTACCCCCCATGTACAGGTTTTATAGCATTTTTGAAAGTTACAAGGTCAAACAAGCATAATAAAATATTTCTTACATTGAAAACAGGCTGGTTAATGCTTGCCTTGGAGTGGTTTATGGTAGCCCAGGAATGAGAATTACCCATGATGGCATACCATTTGCAATAGTAGACAACCCAAGGTATTGCAAATGGGGTATGTCCAGTCTTTTTTAGTAGCCACTTGGTCACAAACACTGGCCAAAATTAGCGTTCAATTTAGTTTTTTTACTTTTTTCACACACAAATATGAATGCTTACATTGGCCAGTGTTTTCGACTAAGTGGCTACTAAAAAAGACTGGACATAACCCATATTGAATACCCTGGGTTGTCTACTTTAAAAAAAATATGTACATATGGGGTGTTATTCAGAGATTTATGACAGATAATAGTGTTACAATGTCACTATTGATAAATTTTAAAAATGCATGTTTTGAAACCGCAATATCCTACTTGTACCTATAGCCCTATAACATGCAAAAAAAAGCAAAAAAGCACGTAAACACTGGGTATTTTTAAACTCAGGACAAAATTTTGAATCTATTTAGCAGTTTTTTTCATTCGCTTTTGTAGATGAGTAAAAGATTTTTCAAGTAAAAGTCAAAAAACATGTATTTTTTTCAATTTTTCATCATATTTTTTATTTTTTTTAAATTAAAATACATGAGATTATATAAATAATGGTATGTAAAGAAAGCCCCTTTTGTCCTGAAAAAAACAATATATAATTTGTATGGGAACAGTAAATGAGAGAGCGGAAAATTACAGCCAAACACAAACACCAGAAAAGTGTAAAAATATTCCTGGTCGCAAATGTACAACATCGCAAAAACAGTCCAGTCCTTAAGGGGTTAAAGACCTAGGGAGAGCTCGGTTTTAAAATGTCATATCTAGGTACTAAGTATTTTTCTGCAGAAGTACTAGAGTACTTTAAGAATGACATTGACAAACATGATGGACCATATGAGCTTCCAGAACCAACAGGCCCCTATTGTGGAAAATATGAAGGTTTCATGGATGTTTTGACACAGATTGTTACTAATAAAAAATGCCATATTAAGAAAAGGAAAAGCTTGGTGGCACAAGCGGTTGTTGCTGCAATAGGGGGTTTGGCAAGCATGGTACTCGAATTGCAGCAAGCTAATTTAGTAACCACTAATAAAATGGAAGATGCTCTTGATGAAAGAGATTGTTTTAAAATAGCTGCCCTAAGAACAAACAAAATGACCGAGGGGTTGGAGAAGGAATTAAAGGAAATAGAACAACAGAGAGATGCATATAGTGCTAAGATCACTGAACTCCAAAACCTAGTTATGGAATATAAAATGAAAACTAAAGAAAACATAAATAAATGGGATAAGGAGATTCCTAAAGTATGCCCAGGCCAGTCTCATTTTATATCTAAAGGTACAGAACCAGTGCTCGGAACCAAACACAAGGGAAATGCGCCAGTTGTTAACTGTGTCCCACAAGCCCCTTTAATAATAACTGAACACTTTAATGCAAGAGAAATGCCTACTAGTTTCTCTAGACAGACAAGCACTATGTCAATCACAGACAAAGAAAATTTCCAGAAATGGTGGGGAAGTATGCCAAATAACAACTTTAATACTTTTACACACTGGTTTATGAGGGGAGCAAATAGAGCTAAAAAAGGAGGTTTTAACTTAGAGGAATGGACAGAACTTTTAGAATATGCTATGGGTCCTTTGGCTAGTAGACTATTGGGATTCAATAACAGTGTGTCTGATCAGGCAGGAAGAATTGCTGAAACTAATTTCTATATACTTAGCATAGAGAAAGAAATAGCGAATATTACGATGAGGCCATCAGATGGTCCTAGAGAGGTAGCTCAAAGGATATTGTTCTGGTATACACTACGCCAACCTCAACAGCCCCTGGTGTTGGGCTCACCAGAACACATTACTAAAGTAATGGAAGCCCTTCCCTGGGAGTGTCAAGAATTTGTCAGGCTTTTTGATCCAACACCAGCAGACTTAGAAATGCTACTAACTAGAGCTGATAATTGGTGGCTTAAGCATCCTTCCTCAGAACAGGCCTTATCTGTTTCAGCCATAAGAACATTCAAGGTTGACTCTGGTAGAGATTTAGATGGCAAATGGAGAAGCCAAAGGTGGGATGTACCTCAGAACAAGAGGGGTAATGAGAACTGGAGACCAAAACAGGACTTTGACAAAAGATGGAGAGATCCACAGAGGGACCATAGGAATAGGAACAGTTCTAAAGGAAGTAATGTAATGGGAGATAATTGGAAATTAGATGGGAGGAGCCTAAGGTAATCAATAATAATTGGAATAATAATAATAACACCTGGGAGAAGCTAAAAAGGAGAGCTAACTGGGAAAATCACAGATGGCAAGAAAAACAGAGAAACAACAGGAACAGTTATTGGGAGAATAATTGGAAAAGGAACCATAGATGGGATGATCAGACCAATAGACGGAATTGGGATAATTGGAGGAATAAAGAAGGGAATAGAGACTACTGGGACCTAAAGAGACAGACTGAGAGATTGGAGGCAGACGTGAAAGCGCTTAGGGAACAGATGAGAGAGGGAAATACTGATCAATTGGGGGTCCCCAGCAATGAATAACTCCCATAATTTTTGTTGTCCTCTACATCTGTATGTATGTTTGTTTTTTCTTTTGTTTCTATATTTTATCTGTCTCACCATTATCTCGTAACACTCCAGTTTAAAGAGGACCTTAGTATGTATTGTTATATATATATAAATATATATATATATATATTTTTTTTTTTTAGTCATACTAAGGATAAGCCTCTAAATTCATTCATTACAGTCAGGTGGGCCAAATTCCAAATAATTTTTGTTTTTATTAGTTTAGCACGCCTGCACTGCCAGCTATGTTTTTATTTTTTGATGCTGGATTAATAATTATAAATTCATAGATTAAGTGAATTGTTGCCAACGTGAGGCTTATATTTGATCACACTGGAGAGATGTGATAGTGTAACTTTCTGTTGGTTTACAACAGTAAAAACTTTAAAAGCATTTTTTTTTTAAATTTGGTTCCCAACAAATATAACCTCAAGTTGATTTTTGATTTTGATTTTTGAATAGCAACAGACAGTTTTCTATAGATTGCACGCTGCCAAACTGTGTAATGGTAGCATTCAATCTACTTTTTTTTCTTCTCTCTCCATCTTTGATGCTTTGTTTTTTTTTGTCATTAAGAATATAGGGAAATTAGATTGCTTTGAGTGAAGATGGCATAAATAATAAAGTGAAAATGTATGCTATTTGTTCTATTTGGCTATCCACAGGGGGTTAAATAGTTATGGGTATGAGAATTTGCACCTACGTTCAATTGCGAATACATTTTTCACCCTTAGATCTTTCCCACTCACGTTCATGTATAATAATTTACGGTTTAAACTATGTACATTTTGTGATTATTGCATGTATTCATCAGTAAATTATAAAATAACTAATATGGTTTTGTGTTCAACTCTCCATCAGGTGTGGAGTAAATGTCTAAATTAATCAAAATTTCAGGAGACATTTGTGGGTCTTTTAAATACCTCTAAAATGTAAACATAGCCTTAAGACACCACAACCAAATAGATTTTATTAGACAAAACTAGTTAAGCCTTTGACACAAGACAATATGCTGATTACTGTTGTACATATTTCATTGTCTGTGTTTGATTCAAAGAACATTTTAATTGGAAGGCCCAGAGAGGCGAAGGTAACTGACATGTCCTGTCACAGTTTACTATACAGATGAAGAAGTGCTGGGATTACCAAGACAAACTATTATCCTGAAAATGATTACTATTCAGATGAAGAGGTGCTGGGATTACACGTCAAACTATTATCCTGAAAATAGATACTATACAGATGAAGAAGTGCTGAGATTACCAAGTCAAACTATTAACACAGCCCAGAATAAGGGTAAAATAACAGCAAGAAGCAGGAATTTGTGTCATTTCAAGGTCTTCACAGAATGAGTTTACCCTACTCATGAACTTGCATGTGTCATTAAACCTACAAACCTCAAGCTTTGTAATGGATTGGCAAAGACAATATTCAAGGAGAGTTCATTCTAAAATCACAGCTATCAAGCACACAGATCAGTCACAGTCTTCAGATTCCAGTCCCAGGCGAAATTAAACATCATATTGTGTCATAAACTAGTAATAATTACTGTATGGGGTTGATTGCGTCTAGATATTACTACTTCACATGAACACATTACCATATAATATTAATGAACAACTACCAGGGTTCTTACCAACCCACTTGGGCAGTGGTTAATTTAAAAACGGAACAACTGAAAACAATTGAAATTGGGGGAATGTGGGGTGATGCAACCCCTGTTTGACTATATTCTCTCACTTTTAAATGTGCTCAACATAAGAGAAAAAAAAGTGAGGGAATGTGGTGACATTCTGTCATCAAACTAATATGGTGACCAGGGATCATGTGACCAAGCTCTTACAGTGGGATAAGCTTTACCCTTTTGAAATGTTAATTAGTAATTCAATACCTTTACTAGTCAGGAAAGAGATAACCACTTCCCCCTATCTCCATTCCTCTCTGTTCCTTCTTGGCTGTGCTACTGAGCAGTCCTTTAAGCAGACATGGCCTAATTTCCATCATGGTGAACTGTGAGTGGGATTTTATAAGATGTAGTTGTTATTGTTAGTTAGGTTGTTGTTGCTGTTGTTGGTGGTGGTATAGTTAGTTAGATTGTGTGTCATTATTTGTATGTTGTTGTTGTTTTGTCTCTGAATAAATATTTGTTAAAGTAGACGGACCAGAGTTTATATGTGTATGCGTACATAATAATTTATAGAATTTGGTGATACACCACATGTTGTACCGGTGAAAATTACAGGAGGGACAGCACTTACCCTAACTAAGAAGCTAGTGGTTTCACGGCAGTACCGTTGAGTACTACGGAAAATAGCTTATAATATTCCCTTGTCAGGGCACCTTGGAGTCAGCCACACCAAACATAGCTAACTCAAAACTTTTTCTGGCCCGGTGTCTCTAAAGACATCATGCAATATTGTTAGACAAGCGAAACCTGTCAGTGGGTGGGGAAAAGAATGCCACAAGACTAAACTGCACCCCCTGCCCATCATGGAGAAGCCATTTAATTGGGTGGCTGTAGGCTTGATAGGCCACATAGCCAAGCCTAGTCCCTCCGAGAAGATATATATCCTCACCACAGTGCTACTAGGTACCCAGGGGCGGTTGCACTGACCAATATCACACGGAGACAGTGGCTGATGCCCTGATGTGGATCTTTTCCTGAATGTTAAGCTGCAGGCTGTCTGGCAGGGCCCTTACCGGGTGGTGGAACAGAAGTGCTATGTGATAGCCCAGTGCAAAGATTAGATAATATAAAGCATGTTCACATGTGAACATGCATTGGATGGGAAAGGGCAGAGGAGATAATGGTCATCTGTGCCCCTGCAACTGAGAATTTTAAAAATCTTGGTCCTTGTTTGTGGAAGAATTAGGGTCCCAGTAGTGAGCTCAGATCCATCAACTGCTAAAGGCCATGCGAGCGCTAACCTACCTGAACACATCACTCTGGCTCACCCCAGGACAACCCCCTACCGCATTCCGGAAGAGATCCAGGAGATGCTCTGTATGGGGTTTATTGAAGCCTCAGACAGTGGGTTTCCCCGGCTGGTTCCAAAGAAGGACAGAACTGGAGGTTGAATGATAAAATGGTATCAGATGCCTACTCCATGCCTCCGGTAGCTAAACTGTTAGATCGCATGGCCAGGGGAAAATATCTCACTACCTTAGACCTATGTAAGGGCTATTGGCAGATTCCACTAACCAAGGAAGCCATGCTGAAGTCGGCCTTCATTACCCTGTTTGGCCTGCATCAATTCAGGGGCATACCGATCGGGATCAAGAACACCCCAGCCACCTTCCAACGTATGGTGGACACGGCTCCTTGATGGCCTCCAGGATTATATCTGTGAATACTAGGACGACATTGTGGTTTTCATCTACACTTGGGATGGACACTTAGAGCACATAAGTGAGGTGCTGGAAAAGGGACAAGAATGCTGACATGACCCTGAAGCTGAACAAATGCCACATAGGGTTGGCAGACATACAGTATTTAGGTCACCAGCTGGGTTGCGGGAAGCAGCTGCCGGAACCGGCCAAGATAGAGACAGTAGCCAATTGTCAACCCACCTCACTAAGACCCAAGTTATGACCTTCCTCGGTACAGCATGCTATTATCAAAAATGTGTCCCTAACTATAGCTCCATAGCTAAGCCCCTCACCATCCTGACTAAGAAGAACCTTCCCTGACAAGTAGTATGGTCTACGGATAGTGAACAAGCATTCCAACAATTAAAAGAAGCCCTGGTACTGGCATTTAAACACTCACTTTCCAGTGTCTGTTTCCCTTTAAATAACAATATTTTTGTAATATATACACATCATCCTTGCTGTCACTCCTAACTAATATATTTTACAGGCCCCTTTTAAAAAGAGCTAAGGTTCAGTGCAATTTATATAATCTCCTTATGCTTGGACTGGTTCAGGTAAACATGATATTGCCCTGTTCAGTTCACAAAACAAATTGTTCTTTTTCCACTAAAAACAAGGAAAGTAGGAAAACATGTTATCTCTTCTGCTTGTCCAGCTTACTCCTCTCACTCACAAGTTAATTAATTATTGCAAGGAAATTAAAGGGCAAGTCTGAAAATGACTAAACTTTTTAAAGCGTTATATAGATAATGCAATAACAACAACAAAAAAAGAAAAACTAACGCAAAAAATAAGAATAAAAATGTTCTATGCTTTAAAAAGTAACTGCCACTTACACACTTTTTACACAATCAAAAAGGTAACTATTATGTTTTTTTTTTTTTTTTCATTCTTAATAATTTAAGTTGTATACTTTGGCAAAGTATGTAAGTCAGTTAACTCTACCAGTGCCTTACACACTGCTCATGTGTGCGTACGACACTGCAGGAGAGAATTATGTGAAGATCTTCTTATGGTCTAGAACTGTGCTTTCAAAAGAGTAGCCCTACAAGCCAGAATGAAAAAAACAAAAAACATTGCCCCTTCAGGTCTCCACTTTTGGACAGACCTTGCTGCTAAAATCAACAATAGCAGGAGGTTGAGACAAAAAAAAAAAATAGTTTGATAACCCCTTTCGAAAGCCCAATCTGCTCTTACCAAACTATGTCCCTTAACACACCTCTTAGTTATTTGCAGACATACACACAGGTGCACACACAGACAGCATACACATACAGACATGCATACACAAGCACACACACACACAGAGATATTCACACAGGCAAAGACACACACAAAAAGGCACAGACAGATAAATACAGACAGGCACAGGTAGGCATAAACAAACACACACATACACCCAAAAACTCAC